CGGTGCGGGCAGCGGGGTCTCGCTGGAGGGTCCCCCCCTTCCGAATCACCCTGCCGAGCCCCCCACCGCGGGGAACCGCCTCCCGCGGGCTCTTCGAGGCTGCTGGGGTGGGCTGAAGCATCTGCGTAGTGGCACGCAGGAGCCAGAGCTGCCTGAGAGGGGAGAGGGAGGAGAGCATGGTTTTGCGGCCCTTCGCCCTCCCTGTACGTCAAAAGGCTGTTGTGAGCCACCATACCTAGACTGAGGGTCAGTTTCTTGCTCCCCAAAGTCAACAGCCAACATCAATATTTGGTTCAGGGTTTCTGTTGGGATTTTTTTTTAATCACTTTATAGTAATCTTCTTATTTTAATAGAAAAAAAATCCCACTGTAATTGTAGTATCAGATCAGAATCTCATTTAAGTCTAATACTACTCTCTACCTATGGCTGGGACCATTTCTTCAAGGAGAAAGATCTTTAAAACGAAGTTGTACCACAATTCAACTCTTGCAAGGTCTCATTCCCATTTAATGGTTAGAGATTGCTTTTAGCCCAGGAGCAGGTTTGTGCATCCTTTCCATTCTTTTGCATTTGTTCTTGTTTGCTGTTAAAACTGCAACATTCTTATGGCTGACACAGGACGTGGCTCACAAATGTATGTTTTGTTTGATTGGACATTATGGCAGAGTTAATGGTTTTGTTAGGAGAATTTCAGAGCTGCATGTTGCACTGAACTTGACCTTGTATGTATACATGGTGGTAAAATGTAGTATTGCTAAGCCAAATGGAAGATATAGCATTACCCAGCTGCATTTCTTTGTTCATGCAAGTTAATTAGTGAATGAATTTTATTGTGAACATTAAGCAAAAGAATACATTCTGCTGAAACCTTAACCTCTGAAAAAAAAAAATCCCACTGTATTTGCCTTGATTAGATATCCAGCTAAGAAGAGGCTTCATAATGTGTCTAGCCAGACAGGTTTTCACAAACATAAGGGTAGGGCATGACCTCTGACTCTCAGAACTGTGTATGTGATGAGTTTTGTAAGTAACACCCCCCTTCAATAGCAGTCACTGGCAGCAGAGAGTCCCCTATAGGGAACTTGTTACACAATGCAGTCATTGCTTCTCCCACTGAACAGTCAAGAGTGAAACAAATGCTATTAAAAAACCCCCCAATATTTCCCTAGGTATGATGAGGTAGTGGCATTATCAACATTAATGTATGAGAAGAATCTTTTGGGCTTGGTGAGTCACCCAAGATTCTTGTATTGTCAAAGGGCACCTAATCAAGTAGGCCCCACAGTGGGGGCCAACATTTGATTGCAAACCATACAATGAACTCCATCAATTTGTTGCAAAGATCTTGGCTGACTCTAAAGGTCTTCAAAAGCAGTCCACCAAAAGTTAGGTGAAATGAGTCCATCCAACTGTTGTCAAGGTCAACAATGAATGGTATTGAAAATACCTTGGAAGTTATCAGACAATCAAGTGGAATGCTTAGGTTTTCAGATGAGGAAGCAGCTGCTATATAGAGACACACATGTCACATAACAATATGGCTCCACAAAAGAAGACCACGTGCATTTCTCTCTATCTTTTTTGCACATTGCAAGAGAATTATAATTTTTCATTATATTCTTCTGAAACTGCTGCACTTTATGGCTTGTTGAAAGTTTTGCATGCAGCCAATTCCCACTTCTGTAAGTTTAAATGTAATTCAGTACGAAATCACAGAGGCCTTACATATAGGGAATCTGATAGTATCACTTAAAGTAGTGTGTGAAGAATAATGGCTATTGCCAGGGATAGTTTTACTCACCTCATGGGCCAGACATATCATGTTGTAGTAAATTGTGTGTAGCTGAAGATATTGATTGCAATTAGTTTCCCAAGTACATGAGAGGTCAGATCTATAACGAGGGTTTTTTTTCCTTTATTATTTCTGCCTGAATGATCATCTTTCTCCGGATGCAGCTCAGGCTGTGACTTTATCCTAGACCACTGTGGCAAAAAGTGGCAAACACGAGGGAGAACTAAAAAAGCATCATATTATGGATTATGTATGCATAGGCTGAGTAACTGTTTCACCATGTGAAAGTGAACCATGGTGAGAGTAGAACATTTATGAAGCAGGAATTTTAAATGTAGGCATTGCCTTTCTTTTTCTTGATCTGATAACTTCACATTCATTTACTTATCTGATCCTACCAGATGTACTTTATCAGCATCAATTGAGGGGTTGCCTTTACTAAGTCTCCTGGGAGGTTAGTTTTGTTGCTGCCCACCTTAATGGCCCTGACCAGCCTCATCTGGGGCCTCCACCCACACCTCTGCCCATGGGCCCTATTTCAGCTCATCTGTGGGCATTCAGTCCGTTCCTGTGTTATCTTAGGAGTGCTGGTCTCCAGCTCTGCCACAGACATATCCAGCCATGGATGCTGTTGATCTTGACCTGCAGGCTGACTACCTGGCTTGACCTCAGCCCATCCCCATGGAAGTACCTGATACTGTGAGCTGCCCTCTTACTGAGGGCAGTGGGCTGAGCCCTGGCTAGAGAAACCCATGCCTTTCTAGTCCCCATAGGGACTTGCTGTGGAGGCCCAGGCTGCTGTATGGTTATCTGATATTAATTGCTTGATATTCTGTAGGGAGAAAAATACCTGCAAGAAGAAGGCGGCTGTGTGGTTTTGCCAGGAGCATGGAGAAAATGTGCTGATTATTACAAGATTCAAGGCTAAATAGATCACCATAGACTTAGGACAAGGTCCTGTTTCTTCTAAGCCACAGCAGTAATTTAACTCCAGGAACAAAAAGACAAATTTGTGTCCATTCCTCCATTCTCTACGCCTATGTTTGAGGGGTGAGGATTTTAATGTCTTTGTAAAGTGAAAAACTGCTTTTTTGGGGTTTTTTTTCAGTCCTTTAAATCTACCTTTTGTCCCCCCGACACCTGAGGGCTTCCCAGCCTGTTGTCTGTAGAGTCAGCAAGGTACACTAAGCTAAATCCCTTCCCTTGGAACAGGAACACTGCAGCATTCCTTTGTGCCCTGGTGAACCCCCTAGTACTTTTGAAGGGAGTGATGAGCTCCTTCAGGTGAACTGCAGCCAGCATGCTCAGCTATTCTCATACCTCTTTTTCTTCCCAGAACAGGGAAAGTCTTCTCACATTGCGGCTTCATCCTCCCAGACCTCGTCTTGTGCCTAGGCCTTCCCTGCTGCAGCTGCATCACCTGCGTGTATCGCTGATGGGGAACTACTGTAGGGGAGAGGTGAGTACGTCACAGGTGAAGGTGGATGCATCCAGTGAAAAGTCAGAGCTAATATGCAGATAAGCCATGACCTATGCTTTGTGCTGGTCCAGCTGGTCTAGAAAATATTCTGGAGAAATCTATCTGGTCTCTCAACTGCATCCACTCAATATGATCTCTCTTTGCATGGTAGTATGTCAACTGCATAAGCCTTTCAGTATTGCCATTTATGCAGGCCTTCCCACTTAGAGTTAATGCACTAATCTTGCTGCATAGCTCTACAATAATTAAATATCTAAAATGTGTTTTGAGGTCAGAACAAGACGGTTCATTTATGACAGCCAGCCCACAGCATTTAGCTTCCAAGGTGACGTGGACAATACCTATAATAGTCTTTTCACGCTTGCCCCTCTTTGATTCCTTTCTTAACACAGTGCTAAATTTGGAAGTGTTCCGGTTTGGGGTTGCTTTTCGAGAAGTGGAGGCAAAGCCACAAGCTCTCATTTGCTAAAAATAGCCATATGTGTGATTCCATATGGAGTGAATTGTGCTGAGACTTGCATCTGCCAGCTCTCAGTTTAATACTGTAATTCTTTTGAGACCTCTGCCTCTGTGCAGAAGTGAGAAAGGGTTTTACTGAACTATAAGCTGGACTGAGTCTTTATCACCTTTGCAGACCACTTGTGTATATTTTTTTTTTCTGTGTAGATGATAATTTTGAACATACAGCATTTGATTTAATTTCCCCTGGAAATGCAGCTTGATTTGCTGGAGAGATGCATATTTATGGAGAAGTCACGTGCTCTGTTACAGATGGAGTAGGCTTATGGCATTTACAATGCAGCAAACATGTTTGAAGAACAGCTGTGCGAGGGCTAGTAGAGAGAGTAGTGAAGCTGATGTAACAACCTGAGAAACTGCCTGCCTTCCTTGCAGCTGACATGTTTATTTGCAAAGATATGGTTCCAATTTTCAGTATAAACTCCCATCAGTCTCTCAGCTAGATCCCTTTTTCAGATAAATGTTGTTGATTGCTTTTTTTCTTTTTTAACGCTTGCAGGAATGGATCCTGAAATAGCATTAAAAAAGCCCAGAATTTTCTGAGGAAATACAGCAACAAAATATCCTATACAAGTAGGGATCACTCACCAGTAAACTGAGCTGAGATATTCAGCCCTGTTGCAGATTGCGCTATTGTGACAAATGTTGTTAATCCAGCATCACGCACCTTTACCTACTTCAGACAGAAATGGGGAGAACAGGGTAAGGCATAGTAGGTTTCAACAATGCATGTTACTTTCTGCAAGACAAAGCTCTGTTCTCCCCTCTGTGGAGAGCTAGAAGAAATACAGCTTTTCCTCTCTCTTACACCCAATGCTGCTCTTTAAGAATAGCTGCACAGAGAAGACATGCATCAGCAGTCCAGACTCTCCCTCACACCTGCCATGGCCACTGTGTGGTTAAGGATCATTTTGCTTCACATGAATGAGTTGGCTGATCAGCACATTTCTGCTGGAGGGAAGATGAAATGCTGATTCCTCTGTGGTGATGTGTGATAAATGAAACCAAGCCTTAGTGTTAAAAGAAAAGGATTGTTCCAGACACGTAAAGTAGAAGGGCAAAAGGATTTGCTGAGCTTTGAGGATGAAATAGAAACAATAGAGAGAAAAGAAGTGTTATAAAAGTAGCTGCTTTCAGCTAGTATTGGATGGAGGTAATTTTATGCTTTGACACTGAGTTGCTTAAGTGACTAATGGTAAATTCTGGAGTCATTGGCTTGGTGCCACTGCGTCTAGAAATGCATTTCACACCTTCAAGGGCTTTTCATGTAGGTAAGTGAGAAACTGAGCTTTTGTGAAATTGTGGAGTCAGCACCCTTTTCTGTTCACATTAAACCACTTTTTAGTATAAGATGATATAGATGTTCTGTTGAAGAGGATCTGTCCCTGGACATTTTGTATCATCGATTTATTGTAGAGGGCCCTGTCATCCTGATTCAGCACAAACACTGAACCAGCAGGAGCCAGTGAGCAGGAAAACCTGTGGAAAGGCTGCCTGCAGGGAGGAAAATGCTGGCAGGTTCTATTGTCTTCGTTCTGCATAAACCCTTCCAGCTGGAGAAGGGATTTCATTTCCTCAGGTCTGAGGGGCAGCAAGGTAGAGACAGAAGGAAGAGCTAACTGTGAGCCAGCTCTCAGTCTCTAATGCTTGCCCCAGGCTCTGTAGCATTGTGGCAGATAATAAAGGGATAGTTTGGCTTCCAGCCACACAGTGAAAGGTATTTAATTTGAGTTCTCATTGTCTATTACCTGTATTTTTGGGTTATCCAATCAGAGAGGAAAAAAAAAATGTAGCCTCTTTCCTAAAGATGGAACCACTGGAATGAAAGGAAGGAGAAGGAAATAAGTCACTTTCTTAAAGCAAAAGGAAGTGCTGACTGAAAAAGACATGATACAGGAGAAGTCTACAAGCTCCTGAGTCCATCCAGCATAATTTTAAAGCTTATGGGAAATGAAGGGAGCCTTCACAGAAATATCTCAGAAATTCAGTTAGATCATTTCAACTCTGGAATGCATCTTCAATTCATCCCAGGCCCTGGGACTGGTAGGCAGATTCTTTAATGTAAATGCAACACAGAGCTTTTTCAATCACTTCTTAGTGATAATTTTTTTTACTTTTAGCTTGGTTTCCAAAGATCATGAAGCTTTTATTAGCTATGTGTGTGTTTCTCTCTCTCATAATTTTAGAATCTGTTAGCTGATGTCAAGTACACGACAGCCAGAGAATTGGAAAGCATCTTTGATTTGCAAAGTGCTTAATGGATGATTGGCTTGGTCAGCAACTAGGGCCTTTAATAGCAATCAGATCCTCACAATAGCATGATTTACACAAGCAAAGGAACAATGTACTGAGACTCTGTATGTCCTAGAAACAAAACCCAAACAACCTAATAATACGTAAAATCATCACAAAAAGGTATGCTTTGGGCAGAATGCACTACAAAGTGTATAACCTGAGACTGCTGGTACAGGCAGGCACTCTGTCTGAAAATGAGGGATCGCTTAAGCAGTGGCTAGTTGAGAAGTGTCTGGAAAGGAAAATCTCAATTCAGACAGTGAGGAGAAACATTCAGCAATTGGGATAGTGAAGCACTAATACAGAGAGCCAAGGAAGGAGTGGAGTGTCATCTGTGGGAGAACCACTAAATAGGCATCAGTGAGGAATAGCTAGAGAAAGTCTCTGAGTGCTCTTCTAACCTTCTGGTCCTCTATCACAGACCTTGTCAGATTTCTGTATGTTTTTGAGTAAAGGCTGAGACAGAGTTAAATGGAGAGCATGAATTTCTGTCTGCAGAAAAAGTCCCTGTTTGGGGATCTTTACAAGTGGCAGAAGTGACAGATGGAGTAACACTAGGCCCTTGTCTGAATGGGCTCAGCTGTAGAAGTGGTTTGGAGGCTTGTGTATGGGAGAATGCTTTGCTCTTGGCAGTGCAGCAGCCTCCTTATTGCCTCCCATATACCACCACCCTTCCTTCTGTATGGGGGAGAGGGATTGTGACTCTGGTATTTATCAACTTTTGGAAAATTATGGGTTTGCCTTATCCCTTACCAAATATAGCCAAATGATCTCTGCAGCAAGTAAAAGATGATTGTAGAAAGTGACATTCTGTGGTGCTTTATGTAATGCACTGGTCTAATTAATTTATGCCTGTTTGACAGCTAACCTGTTTGGGAGGCCTCAGCATCAAGCTGCAAAACCTAATCAAGTCTGATAAACAAATTTAATGTATCAGCAGAGGGCGCATCGTCATTAACCAAGAGAGGGTCCTCCAGCTCGCTGCCAGACCCCATGTGCTCACCCACTGGGAGTCAGACTTCAAAGACGATGAAGTGACAGAACCAGTCCGTTGGAAACCTGTCTCTGAGATCCTTTTGGCATCCACCAAGGAGCAACACAGTACTCCATCCTGTTCGTTGTTTTGCTAGATTTCATGTATTTGCAGTGTGGGCTTGATTCCTTGGGACTGGGCACTAAAATGCTTATTTAATTTCCAAGGGCTTTGTCATCAAGGCTGGCCATAGTTGATATAGCTGAGCGTTTTGTCAGGCTGTTGCCTGTTCAGAGGCAAACTAAGTGCACACGTGCTTCTGCGTTTCCCTATCTCTCAGTCTGTAAGAGGAAATGGCTTGTTTTCATGTGATTAGCAGGCAGAGGAACTTGTGAAAGTGACACAGCTGTACTGTAAAAAGGCCAGCCCACAGACTTTGCTGCCAGAAGAATTTAACTGCTAGTGCTGACAGACCCAAGAGCAGGATTGCCTGAGACATGGAGCGAGAGCCGATGCGCATAAGGGAGGGCTACTTGGTTAAGAAGGTAAGTGGGCAGTTTTGGACTGAGTGGAGGAGGAAGCTAACTGAACAGGCTGGGGAGGTGGAGGAAAACAGACTTTGGTTTCAGCTTTTAAAAAGGATCAGTTTTTCCAAAAAGAAAACGAACAGAATTTTCCTTGAGCAGCAAACCAGTGTGGCATTAGTGACTATAGAGGTACTTGGTAGCATGCTTGTCAGAATACTACATAAGGCATTTTGCACACGTCTCAGATACACATTTGGATCAAAAGATTTGTATTTTTATTAAGTAACCTAATGCCCTTAGTGGAAGCTTGGCAAAATGGGTAACAGATTGAAATGGCCACAGCCTACTTGACTGCACTTAATCTACAAGTTAAACATCAAGGAAGCATAGTGAGATTAAAGAGGTCAGATCACCTTGGCCTAGAAACAGGGCAGGGGGCGGGGAGCCTGTGGCACTTCCCTTCTTTGGGAGGGCAGTCGCTGCCCCACAGCAACTTCTGCTCTGGAGTTTTTTGTGGTACAGCCCATAGGATAAGGCATTGACTTTCATTTAAATCCTTAGTGAGATCAGTCTGGCTTAAAGCAGCCTAAGTAAACAGTGTCAGTCCTGAAGCAAGAGAGGAGTTCTCTCTTGTGGTGTCCCTGTACATCAAAATGAGAATTTCACTCATTAGAACAGCTGGCTGGAGGGATCCCTCATCTGGGACCAGTGTTGTGAAGAGGCCACTCCTCAGTCTTATTTCCACTGATGCTGAAAGGAAGTAAGTTCATAAAGTAATTGCAAAGCTGAAGTGATGCTGTCATGAGGAGGGAGACAGGCAAACTTGTGCTGTGCAGATTGCAGATATCTGTTTCCACTGGCCTGATATAATACAGAGCAAGTAGCTCACAATTTATATTCCCCCATGATAGGGGAATAACTGAAACTTAGACACTGGGACGATCCCAAACTGTGTGCCTGGCTGGCTATGCCAGGGAGAAGATGCATACAGATGTGCCAGTGTCAGTTCCTCACATTCCTGTGGCTGTGGGTCCCCAAAAAGTCTCTCTGTGCAGATGCTACAAAAATTGCTGCTGGGTGCTGTTGTGATGGCAACAGGGAAGTGAAAATTGTTTCCATTTCCTACAACAGCCTGGAAGGTGGCTGTCCTTACAGAAGTGAGCTTATGCTGGTGGTGAGGAGCAGCTGCGTGCTAGAGGAAGGGCTGGAGGGCAAAAGGAGCAGAAGATACAGATCTGACTGGTACCACTGTTTGATGCATCAGTGAGGCTGCTGTGAATTCCACAACCAGAGCTTCCAGCAAGGACAACCATGCTCCTGATTAACCTTACCTGCTAATTATGTACTTTCCTCCTCTCCTTTATGCCTGTAAAGTGAAACCAAGCATTTGACCTCCCAAAGGATTTACCCATGCAGCCACAGATCTCTTGCAGGTAGTGAAGGCCATTTGTCACTGACTTTCTCCTCTTGATACTTACATTAGGCTGGGGAACAGTGCTGTGCATGGGAGCCAGTGTTTTAGCTGGGATAATGTGACCTCCAGTAAATGTGGGTTCAGACTTCAGTGTTTATTTAGGCCAGCTTAAACCTCTGTTCATATATTTTGGGGACCTTGTGTCATCTTCTGAGCATAAGAAACAGCTAATTTTCTAATTTCGTAGTGCTGCAGATGTTATAAAAAGAAGCTGTTCTACTAAAGGGAAGTTGCGTGTGTTCTTAAAGTGGCTGTTGATTTCAAGAGAACAACTTAAGGAACAACCATCTGTACCAGAGGTCTTTGGAGTAGGTGTGACAATTTGATTTTTAGTCTAGGAAAGTCAAACCCAGCATCCTGCTTGCTTGTCTTTCATTAGATGTTTTAGAGGAGAACAATGTGACCATGTTTGGGTTTGCTGATGGTGTGCATCTGAGACTGCCAGTGAATGGCTTCCATTGGCAGAACATGTCAGAGTCTGATCTTCGGGAAGTACTGGACTTGTCTGTTTATGAGCAGAAGTATTGTAACCTGTGGTAAACCCACAAACAAAAGGAAATTGCAACAGTTCTTGTCTTGGCTCATCTTAATTGATTTCTTAGCAGAAAATCAACCAGTGGGTCAATTTGGGCTCTCAAAAAATGGTAAATTCTTATGGCTTATTAAAAAAAAAAAAAAAAAAACAAACCAACCAGCAGTCAACCCATATGTGGTACCCCGACGAGACTCTTTTTTTTGTAGTTCTCTGATTAGCTAAGTTTCCAGAGAGCCCCCAGGGCAATGACTTTCCTTTGGAAGGTATCATTCATTCATGGGGCACCTTCTGCTTCTAGTGAGGGCTGTGGAGGCTGGAAGCAGGTCCTGTTCTTAATAAGATTTCAGCTGACAGTTTTCCCTCCCCACCCTGCAATTGAACATAAGGTCTGATTCAGAGTGAAAAAGACCTTTCTTGGAAGACATGTAGCAAAAAGGATATGACAGACAAAGGGTTCGTTTGCAGAATAAAAAAAAAAACAAACCAAACCTCTCATGTTTCTGTCCCATTCACTTCTGCAGAAATACAAAATGCCTAACTAACTGCCCAGCTCTCAAGTTTAACAAATCAAAGCAAGCCTTTTGCACAGCACAATGATGGCTGCCTTGCTTCTGTCTGCAGCTTTAGCTCTGCTCAGCCACCGTGGTCTGAGGAGGACGGGGATGGCATGGATGGAGTTGTAGGAGAGGGAGGATAAATTTAGGTCTCTCTTTATAACAGAAAGAGCAAGGGAAACTAATATTTTTGAAGGATGGCCTCTGATTTGGGGCCTGCAAGTGTTGGTTGTGCTTTGGTAACTCTTCAGAGGAACTGTTGGTATTCAGCATATCTACATGGTCATTTGGCTGAGCAGTAAGTCACTTGGGTATCTGGGATTGTGACCACTTTTGAAGCTGGTTGCAGGCAGGACCAGAGAGGTCATCTAGCTAGAGTGCAACAGTCTTAGTAATTCTAATGGTTAATTGTGCTCAATGCAGAGAAACAGGTTGTTCCTCCCTGAGTCCCTGAGAGCTTTGCTGTGTGTTTTGCTATATCTAGGATCTGACCCTGTCTTTATCTCTGTATTTCTTACGTCTAACAGCTGTGTTTCAGGAGTAGGAAGTAAAAGCTTTAAAAGATGAAATGAAGCACTTCAATTCCCCAACACAACAGCTGGAGATCTGCAGCCTCAGGCCCTTAAACTAATCGTTACTCTTACAGTTTTTTCTTATGTCTAGAAATCCTCTGTGTGCTTTCTTATCAGACAGCAAAGCCTCAGTGACTGACTGTATTGTAGCATGAAGTCGTAAGTGCAGCACAGGATGCCCAAGTTAATGAGACAGTCCTAATGTGCTAGTTCACATCCAGAAACTTTGAGGATTATTCATAGCATTGTCCCTATGTCTTCTTGAAGACAGTGGTTTGGAGTAACTGGTACTGAAAAGAAACACCTGCTGGGGCAGGCAATATGATTTTGGAAAAAATCGTGTCTGGGGTAACTACAAGGGGAAATTAATGGTGGTCAGAAGAATAACAACATGGTTTTTAACTGCATAGTAAGATGGGTGCGGTTGTGGTATGTTCCCCTTGAGACACTAGCTATAGTTATTTTAGCATCAGTCAGACACTCCCTGCAAGGTCCTACCTTCAGTGGATGTCATGTGAAGAGTGATTTATTGAACATAATATATACAGTGATTTGTTGATGCAGGGCAGCATGTTTAATACCTGGAAGCCGATGTGGGTTGTGCTCTTAGAAGATGGAATTGAATTCTACAAGCGGAAGGCTGACAACAGCCCCAAAGGGATGGTCCCTCTAAAAGGAAGCTCTATTAACAGCCCATGCCAAGATTTTGGCAAAAGAATGGTAAGTACTTTTTTTATAACAACGATTGACAGCATACTTATACTCCTGGACGCACTGAAGGCGCAAAAGGCTGGTGGCTACAAATCCCTTACACTCATCCTAGTTGTGACTCTCACTTGTCTTAGAAGGTCACAAGCAGGCTTGGACTTGTGTAGTATTTGAAAGGTGTGACTGCTCAGGAAAAAATCAGGATACTTCAAGAGGAGCAATTCAGAAAGTGGGGGGGGTTTTTTGGTGTGTTTTTTTTTAAAATCTCTGTCAGAGAGCAGAGCTAAAGTTATGAGGACACTTAGCAGCTGAATGGTGCAACTCCTGTATTGAATATAAATCTAGCTGCTACAGAATAAAGGTGTGGAAAACTATTTCATGAGCAATGGAAGCATTTATTTATTGTCAAAGAGCAACAGCTGGCTTGCTCAGACAGGAAGGAGATACAGGCTGTGACACAAGTGCCCAAGTAAAGCTGTAATTCCAAATCTTTTTATTACCATTTAGTAACTACCTGACCCCAAACACTTCTCATTCATGCAATCTGTATTAATTGCATGCTGCATTGTTACTTGTTAGGGCTTTTGCAAATGACTAAGAGTCGCATCTACACTTGGAGACAGAGAGAGCAAAAACTGAAACTGATTTAGAGAAAGTAGTTCAGATGTTGCCTACGCATTCGGGATCTCTAAGGTCAAGGGTAGCAAGTGCACAGGCAGGGGTCCCAATTACCAATGAAACACACAGATCACTATATTCACAAATTCAGAGTCTTATCTGACAGAAAATAAGGTACAGGAAGATAAATGTACAAACATACGTCTTTTGTTACAGGGTTCCTGAAACCCCTGTTGGTAAAACAGGATTTCTAGTATGAGCAAAGAATTATGTCTTTAGTCAGTCACTTGTTCTTTCAGCAACTTGGTTTCATCAAATAGGCATTATATCCCCAGGAATTCCTCTGACAAAAGGGTCCCTCAGAATCTGGAAGATTATCCCATTACAGTTTAAAGAAATTTACTGCAGGGATGTCTGACTAAAGATAGAAGTCTCTGAGAGCGTTAGAAAATTAGAAAGAAAGTGTGAGAGAGTGCATGAGAGCAAGCTTCACTTTCTCATATGAGTAAAGTGAGGAGAATTATACCTGTCCTTAGATTTTGTGGTAAGTGGAATCAGGGTCCCCGGTGTCAGGTTTGGACCTGCTGACTTTCCTTTTTTCTTCCTTTCTTCTTTTCTTTCTTCTACTTATTTCTTTCTTTTATTATTTTTTTCTTCTTTGTGCAGACCCCATATTTATATATATATATATATATAAAAAAAAGTTGATTCTTGTGGAGGCTTTTTAGACTTACCTCTGTTAAGAAAAAGGGTCTCTTAACTTAAAACCTGTCTTTGAGGCAGTACAGTAAAAGGATGGGGCAGAGAATAAAGATTGCTGTTGATCCTGTGCTGAGTCGAAGAAGTTGTAGGTGGCTGTTTTTCCTGGGAACAAAAGGTTTTAGAGGGTCATTACCTTGGAAATCCCACCTAGATCAGGATCATCAAGAGCTATCTGTTCTTCCTAGCTCTCTCTAGGTACTGGGAGTTGTCCACAGGAGACTGTTATCATGCCTGGAAGAATTGCATGATCATGCATTCCCACCCCATGCCCATCAGTAGGTTTTTTTGATCCCTGAGCTGTCAAAGGCAGTTGTCCAACTGATGCAGAAAGGTTTGAGATTGACTGCTGGTCAAACCCATTTACCCTTCCTTATTGCTAACAGCTCTTGCCTGAGCCACCCTTGGGCACGGCTGAGCGAATCTTACAGTTTAACCCCTGCAGCTTCGGATCTGACCTTCTGCTTCAGCCAGCGTGGCTGTGTGCCAGTGCATTGCCTGGGCACTGTCTGGGAGCTCTTTGTTACAGCACTTGGCTTTACATCTTTTGCAAACCACAAATAATAAAGGTGAAGCATAATTACGTCTAGGGACTAGAGCACAGGGCAGGAATATTAAATAACCAAATAAAAGAATGGAAATTAAGTACATCACACATTTGGTTCTAATTCTGCTGATTGGAATCATGTTCCTACATTATCTAACTAACAAGCCTCAGCACAGCACTCCTTACTCTATGTGAGGTGTGATGCATAAGGAGAAGGGTACTATGTTCAAAAGTATCACAGTTCCTACATTATAATGGTAGAAACTAAGTTTTTATCACAAAACATTCCTTTCCAAACAGTTTTGTGGGGTGTTTGTTTTGTTTTGTTTTTTAACTCCCACAGGGGCACTGACATCATTGCTCTATAGTAGTTGCTTGGAAACATCAGTGACAGTAATGCCTTTAACAATAACAAAAAGATAACTCACCAGCATACATGCATTCTAAAAAATAGGCAGAGAGGTCTGAAGTATCCGATGTCTGCTGAGGGCAGAGTGAGAGAGATCCTCACGTGCCAAAAGGGTTGCTTGAGGATATACCAGTTTGTAGAAGATGCATTGCATCTGTATTGAAGGGTGGTGAAGTTTTTGAGGCATATTCCTTTGACTGCAATGAATTTTACATTATGTTTCATTTTAGTTGCTGGGGCCTTTTCTGAGGGATAATAGAGAGAAAAAAGGAAGGATCTCAGACTTGGGGTTAAAGCACCCCAAACACCATAAGTAAGATCTGATTCATAGTTTTCTGAAGTCAGTGGAAGTGATTCAAATTACTTCAGCAGGTGTTGGAGCAGATCCTCCTTTCTGAGATGGTGAGATCATTCTGGGAGTCCATAGGCCAGTAGACCTGGAGACATACTTTCTTTTAAAATTTGTGCTGTTCAAAGTCAAAACTGCAACATGCTCGTTCATATGAGCAATGCCATCACTGGGATTGTTCTTACAAGTAGTTACTGCCCAATATGATTAAACCTAAATTTATACATGTATTCCTTAAAAATGTAGTGTCTTGATTTTTGCATCTTACACTCACAGCTTTACTATACTATACTATACTGCTGAACCTAGTGCATTTACATTCCATCCTGCCTCATTGATTACCTGCCAAAACATACAGTTCTTCCTCTCATGGGAGTGATTCTGGTTCTTGGTGGTTTGCACACATTTGCTTCCTATGGCTAGGAATGAAAGTATATCTTTAGGACAGGAGTCCTGTACGGTTGAAAAGTAGGGTAATTTTAAGTCTAGTCTCACTCACTTGGGCCCAGTTTGGAGCAGGGACTATTGAGCCATGAGCAGACTTTTGTATTCATCTGGTTAGATTTCAGCTTTTTGAATTGGCTTGTCTATCTGCATTGGGGCCTAGCTTGAAACCTTGGGGCACATCACCAACACACTTTGTTTACTAAATCAGTTGTAAAAAGCAGATCCTGAAGGGAAAGGAAGCAGTCTTGGATTTGTTGAGCAGAGGAGGCTGTAACTGCATATTTTGAGATTTTATTTCAAAATGCATTCACCACTGTTCTCTGTTCTTGATCTGAAGCTTGATCATTGCTTAATGTGATGTTTATTCTGCCATACTTGTTTTCACCATGCCTTTCCTGTGGCTTAAAATATCTAAAATGTTCGTGTTTAGTTTAGTCCAATGGTTTCATTTTCTCAAAAGCACAAACAGGTATGCATTATCAGAGGGAGACTTGGACAATTCCAGGATTGGAGACTCAAACTCTTCACCAGTTTCAGAGGAAGCCTAGGTGTCTAGCTTAGTGGCCTATATTTCTAAAAGCTAAAGTTAAGAGAAAGAGCTTTCCCAGTCTCCTTTGTGTACTGGAAATGAAAATTCTTTAGCATTTCACTGTGCATTGCTTCTCAGCTCTTCGACTTTGAGAATGCTGATTTTTCCTTCAGTAAAAGCTTGCTTTAATGCTTTGGTATTTCATTCTGTTAGTCTGGTGTGTTAACATGACTCTTGGATATTGGGATTTGGAGAGATCTGTCTGTTTGCTTTTCACATGCACCATACATCGATTTTCAGGATGCTCTTTACTGCATAATAGAAAAGGTGGATGTTGCTGGAAATATGAACATTGTTAGATAAGAAATGGTTACTTTTCTGTCTGAAATAGATTTTTGAAGACCTGTTGCTTTGTAAGTTTGAAATATGACTTCTGTGAAAGTCAGTGGGACTTCTGCACAAGTTCAGGGTTTCAGAATTTTTTCCATTGGCAACAATCTGGAAGATGCATATGAGGGATGTTCAGAAATGTGCCTTTTACAAATGCGGGCTTCAGCAGACTCATTCAGTATTTTGTTTTCATTGCTGTAGATTCACTGTTCTCTGTTCTTTGACGATAGTCTCTGCTTTACTTGCCCTCAAAAAGCCATACTGTTTGCTTGCTGATTAGCCTGTCATTTTTAGATGCCTGCTTTATATTTATATATGTATTATTCTAATACAACTACGGAACAAATTACAGTTCCACTTATGGGGAACTGTATTTTAGAGGAAGTGGAAACAGTCTTGCTTGAGTAATTAGATCCAGATTTTCCAACCAAAAGACCACTGGATGAAAAAGAGATCAAACAAGTGTGACTTTGGGGTTTTGGTTTGGTTTTTTTTTTCAGGTTGGTGTTATTTTTTTCTTATTAGAACTACCTTTAAAAGATCTTTTTTCATTTTAGAAGGGTCAGTCCTTCCACTGTTGCTGGTGATCATAAGGCATAGCCAAGGGTTGGATGTATCATGTGTCTACCAAGCCCTTAAAGGTTTGCTAGGCTGCAAATGTGTTGTTCAGCTACCCTCCAGTGTGACTGTGATCTTTTCTCCTCTTATGAATCAGCAGCTGAGCAACATGATGTGAGGTTACACTGTAAACCTGCAGAGGCTGAGCACTTCAGCCTTTCAGCTGTGTTGAACTTCCCAGCAAAGTTAAAATCAGCAGCTGTATCAGTGCTACTCACCTTGGCTGTACTGATGATGTCAGGATCGCTCACAGGGAAATAACAAAAGGAGTCAGTTACCTGTACTGCCTGTTCATGGTTTTTCTTCAGAGGTTTTTTTAATTTAGCTGTGGCTCTAAGGCACTTTTCATAGTCCCTTAGGCACAGGTAGGCGGTATGTAGTGGTGGTACTAGGTTAATCATGCCCAACTGGCTAAACCAAAGTAACTTTTAAAAAAACATCATTTATCATTCCAGTTTGTCTTCAAGCTCACCGCAGCCAAGCAGCAGGACCACTTTTTTCAAGCTGCCTACCTGGAGGAGAGGGATGCCTGGGTACGGGATATCAAGAAAGCAATTAATTGCATAGATGGAGGCCAAAGGTTTGCCAGAAAATCCACAAGAAAGTCTATCAGACTGCCTGAAACAATCAACCTGAGGTTTGTTCTCATAGCTCTGCTCCCCCGTTTACTTCCATCCTCAGGCAGTGTGCCAGATATGTAACCTCCGTCTGGAAGAGCTATGAGCTTGTCTGTCAGTGCTCTCTCTCTGGTTTCGCTCAGAGTCCTTTTTGCATGACTAACTATTTCAGAGCGTACAGTGTGGCAGAAATGAGCTAGTAGTCAGAACTGGGAAGGTAATTTTTAATACATCATCTTTTACCAAAATATGTTTGTTTATCAAAGGATTTTGCTGATAAGGAGATTTCTGAGCACACTGCAGTGCGAAAGGAGACCCCAGACAAAAGTGTGATCTTCTAGAAGATGCATTTTTATACAATATATAGTTTATTGAAAAAATATTTTAAACCTTTTGTTTGCTCTCCAGAGAAATGCTAGTGCTAGCCTAATGTTTGGATGGTGAGGGGAGAGTGGTGTCTGCCAGAGAACTTGGAACCGGCAAAGGGAGAAGAAGAGAGAAAGGGCACACGCAGGAAGCTATCTGTTTGTCAGTACTTCAAAAAATTAAGGACAACTTATTTTTTGCCTCTGAGCAGTAAATACCAAGATACAAATGGGCCTGCAGTGCTCCTTACAAGACAGTAAAACTGCACAAGGCCAACATCCAGCTAAATCTGACTTCACAGGCTTCAGCAGAGGATCCCTCTGACTAACAGGCTAAAGGACTTAGCCTGTGACACTTAATATTTGTCCTTCTTGTCATTCTAGAGCTTCAGAGAATAGAGTTTTGAGCAAGTGAAAAGTGGGTGGGAGGAATAAAGTCACACCAGGGTTCACTGAGGTTACTTGGGGCCTCTGAGAGCATGCTCACTTTGGAGATGTCACAGTGACAGGGTTTCTGCTCAGCCAAGGACCTTTGGGGGAAAGTAGTGCAAAGCAGTGAGCTCCATTATTGGCACCGAGGCTGTGGGGCCCTGTGACGGTGCCTCAGCAGCGGGTGTTCTTCTGTTCACACTACAGTCACCACAAGGTTGTTCCATTCTCAAAATATGGGCGTGTGGTGAGCCATTTGTGCACTCCCCGCTCTGCTTCTGCAGCTGTGACAGTGAAGTAGTGAGGCCTCCAGGCTTTGCAACACAAATTTTTCAGGAGGTAGAACTAAGCCATGCTATAGCTCTGCAGAGAGCAATTTGCCAGCAAAATATGAAGACCTCATGAATGACAATTACATTATTGTACAAACTGGCTAAAGGTTTTTATTTGCTAACAGTTTCTGTCGTTCTTTTTATGCACAGTGCTTTGTACCTCTCGATGAAAGATCCTGAAAAGGGAATAAAGGAGTTGAAGCTGGAAAAAGATAAAAAAGTGTTCAATCACTGCTTTACAGGTAAGGAGCTCTTGTCCTTCTTTTCCATACAATAAAGGAAGTGCAGGGCCGAGAGGCTATAGATAGATAAAAGAGCTCTAAGCTCTGTAGAGCACAGAGAAGTTTGAGAAGCAAACCTGGCAGATGTTTTCTGCCAACACAGGAGGTGCTCAAAGGATGAAGCTTGAAAAAGTGTTCAGTTGTGGCCATGGTAAGCAAGAGAGGAGGAAGACATTTAACCAGTGCCAGAAAGATTGAAGTAGATCTTTGTAGAAAGTTGCATGGAACACTTAACTCCAGAAGAATTATTCCTTTCTGAATTTTTCATCAACAAACTGTGTCACATTGTAATTTCTGTCCTGCTTCTAGTCAAATCTGTGGGTGTTGGAGTCAAAAGTCACCCTGTTTTGACAGTACTCTGTCAGCAACATAGCAGCCTGGAAGACTGCTTTCTCCAGGCTTGGCTGTCCTTCGTACTTCCCCAGTCCCTGTCCCTGAGGCTTCCCAGCTCAGCCCTGCATCCCTGCCCATCTCTCTTCTCCCTCTGGTACAGTGTTCAAGAGTTGAACTGGCCCCTGCCATGAGTTGGATTGACTGTACCTCACTGGATGACCCAGGCACCTTCCCAGATTAACTCTCTGTGTTGTCACGAAAAACATCTTTCAGGAGATTGATAAACAGATGGAGTAGGCTTGTTGGCTATGTTTTTTTAGGCTTCTTTGTGTCTGTCTTGGTTTGTGGCTGATATTGTTTGTTCCTTTGTAACCAGGCATCTCTGTGATTGACTGGCTGGTGTCTAGCAACTCCATCCGAAATCGCAGAGAAGGTCTCATGCTTGCCTCTTCGCTCTTGAGCGAAGGCTACCTACAGCCTGCAGGGGATACATCCAAGGCTGCTGCCGAGGGACTGTCAGACACCCCCTTCTTAGATCTCAGCGATGCCTACTATTACTTTGTGAGTGTTGTGTTCTGGTTTTGGTTTGTTTTGTGGTTTGGTTTTTTTTTTTTTTATTGTCCCAGACTTGCTGATGCTCTGCTTTTCTCAGGCTTCTTGTTGGGTTTCTTAAGTTCTGGAGGAAAGATTGTAGAGAAATGGAGAGATACATGTTAATTGTCTTTCTCTGCATGGTGTTCAGAATGAAGTGGCTCACCTTGTGAGCGGGACTTTTTTTTTCTGGCACCCTTCTAAGTGCAAACTGAGTGCTGAGATCAAGCTGATTTTCTTTTTAATTTAGACTTTGTTCCTGGTAATTTCAGCAGTGACCAGAATTTAGCCCTCAGTTCCCCTGATGATTCAGTGGAAGAGAAGAGTAATTCATTATCATGGGGCTTCTCAGAGTGGTACAAGCTACAAACCCACTTTTGCGCAGAGACATCAAATCTGACTCAGTGCATGTGAACACACACATACACAGATTGCCTGTGAGCAGAGAAGCAAAAGTTTTAATATTTGCCAATAACACCTGTCCTGGGTAGCTTACCCAACATTTTCAATTTAATGCTTCATATTCTGTAGATTCGATTTGAAGAACTTGCAATATCACAATCGCTGTAAAATGCTGTTTTAAGTTGTTTGGCTTATGAACTTATGCTAACAAAAAAGCATGCCTTCTGTCAAGTGAAATGCTTAAATATTACAATTCTATTTATACTTAACACATAGAATCACTCAACTTCAGCAGAATGAATCTCCCATTACTGCATTTGTTTTCCTAGAATGTGCCCATGGTAGGGAGACTTTACCTGTTCAGCAGTGGAAGCAGAGACACTGCTGGTGAAGGCAGCCTTGTGGCCATCACAGTTCCTGGCTACCTGGGACACTTCTCCTAGCAGCCCATGTGTGTTCTGCTTGCTTTCAGCTTGTTTCTAGTTTAATTCAATACCAACGCGGTGTGAGGAGGCCACAGCAGATCAATGTCTGACTTACTAGCATACAAGTAGGCAGCACAGTTGTTTACTCTAAGCTGTACGAATGGTTGCCTACATTTACATTGTTTGAACAGTGTAAGGTTTCAGTAAGTAGCATCACGATTTATCTGGTGAGACAGCCTATGCTCTGTACACGTCACAACATCACAACTATAGAAAACTGAATTTAAAAAACTAGGGCCAGTTCTTGTTGTTGGAGAAGACAGCCTCATTGGAGCATTTCTTCTTCCCAAATTCTGGATGGTTGTGATGGATGGAGGAAGAGGAATGGTCTGTTGGGTGCAGGGATGACCAGCCTGGAGTGTATTGGCTGTGCTGGCACTGCTTCATGTGAACTGCTGTCTGTGTATTTAAAACCTTGTGACATCATGGGATTGAGGCAGCCTGTCCATCATGGAGGAAATGTGACACCAAGAGTCATGGAGAATGGAGGCACTGACATATACACAGATGCTCCAGCTCTCTTCAGATGCCTTGAGACTCATTGGTGTATTCCTACCTCACACCGAAACACTAACATGGTGACTTGGAGAGCTCCTCAACTTCTCTGGGAGACTTTTCTAGTAAAAGGGTTCAGTTTTTGGGTGGCAAAAACCAGGGTGGAGGGAAGCCAAGGAGAAGCCAGAATTGTATGTGTACATAAACATGCAGCAGCTGTGTAACTTCTGAATTTTCTCTTGTGGTCTTGCAGCCAGACAGTGGGTTTTTCTGCGAGGGAAATTCTAGTGATGATGATGTGGTCCTGAAAGAAGAATTCAGAGGCATAGTAGTCAAACAAGGATGTTTGCTGAAACAGGTCAGTATTGCATGTGTTTCATCCTGTCACTGGGATGATGTTGCATGGATATAAGATTACTCTCTTACAAGTAAAAGCTTTAGAGAAGAGAAACTAGCCTATGATATCTCCACAGTTGACAGGTTTCATCTCTGTCCCTCTTGCCTTTGCACAAAGAATGGTTGCTGTAGCATGGCAGCAGGGCTTTTGCCCAGTGTTACGAGGTTTATTGCTCGTATTATGAAATAAGCACTCTTTCTTTCCTAATTAAAATTATAAACTGTCTAAAGTAAGAGATGTGACAAGTCATTGGGACAATGCAGAACTGAACTCAGTTAAAAAGGCTGCCTAATCCAGTGTCTCTTTTGACACACAACTGGATTCAGTTGCCAGTTTTCACAAGATTTTTCAGCATACGTGAACAAAGGTCACTAATGTTTGATCGTGTCGCATCTGTAAGATGGAAGATAACTGTATACCTCCCTTTCCATCAAAACTTTAAGCAATACAGTGAATGTCATGGTAAGATACTTACTTTCTGAGGCAATTGCAAACAGACATTAGTGAACTGAAGGCAAGACCAGGATTCTTCAATTAATAGAGTAGTTCAGTTGGAAGGGACCTACAACAATCATCTAGTCCAACTGCCTGACCACTTCAGGGCTGACCAAAGGTTAAAGCATATCATTAAGGGCATTGCCCAAATGCCTCTTAAACACTGACAGACATTGGGTATCGACCACCTCTCTAGGAATCCTGTTACAGTGTTTCACCACTCTCTTGGTAAAGAAATGTTTCCTAATATCAAGTCTGAACTTCCACTGTTAAAATATCCCATGGGAGCCTAAGAACTTTTGGTGGTGCTCACTTGTATTTCTCTTGCTCCATCAGGTTGCTCAAAAGCAATGAAAAAAATTAGATAGGTGTCTTTATGCTGACTTTTACCCTGTCACATTCACCCCTGATTAGTTAGTAAGAGCTTCCTTGCAATCAGCGTAGTTAATTGAGAAACAAATATTTTGAAATGCAGAGAGGAAGTGATTCACAATAGTCTTCCACCAGTGTTAGTCTGGATTTGGTCACTTTCAGTGAGTTGTGGCTCATTGCTTGGAAGTGTCACTGCTTCTGCTGAGAATGCCCGTTTTCAAGACTGAAATTATGGGTGGGGAAAATCAAGATCTGCTGAAAGCAATGAGACATCTATATCCATATCAGAAGGTGGTGCAACTTCTGCTTGAGCTTCTCAGCAATGAACCCTCTCCAGGGTGCTTGAGCCAAATAAGCCGTTGTTGTTGTTTGTTCTTGCCAATAGTTCAAGGTACCTTCCTGCAAGACATTTTGCAGCCATGTTTTCTGGCAAGCATTTAAGCCCCAAGTCTCACATATCCTATGTGAATCTCATAGTTACCAGACTATGAGATGTGTTTAGAGGAATCTCCCATGTTGAAGCTGTTGTACTTAGTACAAAAAAATAAAAAGAGAAACACGTGTGATAGCCCAGTTTTTGTGCAAAACAGTGGGATGCAGAAAGGCCAGGTTCAAATCCTATTCCAGTGAATATTTTCTGTCCAAAATATTCAGCTTTTTTCCTTTTGTATTTGCCTGTTCTCTCATATGTGGGTAAGCTGACTGTCAGCACATGCAGGCGAAGCAGTTCATGACATTCCTGGTTTTGAATTTTCCTAGGGACATCGGAGGAAGAACTGGAAAGTGAGAAAGTTTGTTTTAAGAGAAGATCCTGCATATCTTCACTACTATGATCCTGCTGGAGTAAGAGATATTTTGTTTATTACCCTCTTTTTTTTTTTTTTTTTTTTTTTTAAAGCCAACACCTTGTAGAAATATCTGAATGGAGTATTTGCATGGCAATGTGTGATAGGGCAGACGAGCAGGACAGCGGGGCTGTTTGTGCTCACGGGGCCTAGCCATCCTCTGGAAAAGCAGAGTGAAGGATAGTTTCTGGGGCTGCCAAGTCAGGGTGGCAAGTGCCACCCAGACCTGTGGAACGGGAAACACTGAACTGTGCTCTCACCTCTTATCTGTGATTAATTAGAATTAAACTGTGCTCTTACTTGATTTAAATTAACTAGGTCATAAGTGCAAATGAACACAATGCAGTCATTTTGCAGTTATAACTGAGGTGTTTTCTGTGTCAAGCTGAGACATGGCATTCCGTTTCTGAAGAAAGGCAAGAGCATTGCCATGGGCAAAACCTGCCCCCCAAAAGCTGGCATTCAGGCAGGTTCAGCCTACAGGTTTTATTTCATCCTGCATTGCTGCAGGAGCAGTGCCATTGTGGGTTACAGGTGCTTTATGCCATGCCCCCCTTGCTGTCCCCCTTGGCAGAGACAGCGTAGACATACTGGAGGATCAACACTGAGGAGTTTCTGACCTCCCTATTCCCAGTTTGCCTTTCCCACTCCTGGCATCCCCTCCCAAAGGGCTGAGGTATCATCTTATAGGGACTGCTTCTTTGAAACTCATGCCAACAAAAATGCATCTTCACTCGTTCTTTGACTATCACAGTCTTGAAGTGTGCAAGAGGCCAAATTGTACATAAGGGTATAGATGCTCCTGCTGCTTGGTAAGAATACTTCTAAGATCTACTCTTTCTAACTAATCTTTCATATTCACTGTGACATCAGAAGAAAAGTTATAGTTGGCACAAGGCTTATATTATTCTTGTAGCTTTGATCAGGATATGCTAAATACTCTGCAGATCCTGAATTCCAAATCCCCAAAGAGATTCCATATTTGTTTGCAGGTCTTCCCCCTACCCCCCTCCCACCCCGCTATGTCACACACAGACTGAGGATCTGCTGGTTTCTCAGGTGACATACTAAGTCAGCAAATGTTTTTGTTTCTATTCTGTAGCAAGATACTAACAAGTGAACAGTTTCAGAAGTGTTGCATTTCACTTCGATTTCATGTCCTCACCAGGGAGAAGAACCACTAGGAGCAATTCACTTGAGAGGCTGCGTGGTGACAGCAGTGGAAGATATGCCAGACTGTAAGGAAACCATATTGAATGAGCTGTTTAACAAGTTTTTGGTACATTCTTTCAATCTGCCTGAAATAACAAGTGGTTTTTACTCAAAAGCAATCTATGTGCAATGATTCAGTAATTCTTCTAGTAACTAGTCTCTCTGTTGCTGTCTTAATTACCGGAGAAGGATACTGTGGTAAAAGTAGCAACAGGGAAGCTTGTGTTTTGTCAGTTGTTTAGAGAAGACTTGTCAAAAGAATGACACCATCCCTATGTTAGGATAACTGGCCTTAGACAAAGTAAGCTGAGTTTTCTCTTTCTAGTTGATGAATTTGGGATGGAAGCTTTATGCTGGAAATGGATATGCTAACAAATTACATTCTGTTCCCTCCCAAAACCAGAAGTTGTGGGAGCAGCAACGGTTAAGCATTGCTGCAGGGAACAAGAAACACTCATTCCATGCATACTCCTCCCCTCCACAGGAGAGGCAGACTACCATACCCAGCAAGAAAGTCCGTTGGCATCTCAGCACCTGTGTAGGCTGTGCTGGCAGATAGGAAAAGAACGTGAGATTCTGGGTGTAAACTTAAGCGTCTTGTTTTTGTAGCTGGCAAGGCACAGGAGGGGTTTGGGGAATATGACCAGTCTGCAGGATTGCAGATCCTTCCATGACTGGAGATCAATTAACCAGAGACTCCTGAAGGTGTAATGTGCAGAATTCATGGGTTGTTTCTTTGAGAGAGACACCTATCTCATGGACCCAATCTTGCAGTCTGTTTGTGAAGGCCTGATCAGGCACAACTGTAGAAAGGGGGGAAATCCCCTTGCACTGCATCAAGGAAGGGACATTGTAAATACAAGACTTTATTCTCTCATAGCTGACTTCCTTATTTCTTCCCTATAGCCAAGAAGTATGATGCTGACAACATCCTCTTTGAAATCATCACAGCAAATGAAATCCACTATTACTTGCAAGCAGCCTCATCCACAGAGCGTACAGAGTGGATCAAAGCAATTCAGGCAGTTGCTAGGACTGGAAAATGAAGATGATCTGCCAGTGAGAAGACAGACGACTGGAATGAGTTACTCAAAACAACCAGGAGTTTTAGCATTTCACTGAGAGAATGCAATATTGTCCAGAAAGGTGTCCTAAGGCTTGTGGGTTGGGGGTGAGGGTGGGTAGTAAGTTTCAATTGTGTAGAGGGCACTAACAAACTAACATTTTTCCATTTGTGTTATGGTAATATTTTATTAAATTGTAGCATATAACATGCCATATTAGTGTGTGCTGCTTAGAGTAATTAGCTTATAGTGAGAATTTCACCATTAACAGGGGACAGAGTCATGCCTGACTGTAAGTGAGGAAATCTACTAGTCACCTACCACTCAGCCTGTTTCAGTATCTTCAGATATTTCAAAGTCTTCCTAAGACAAACTTCACACTTTTTTTACCAGATCTTTTTACTGCTTGTTTGCCTGTACAATTAATGCCATAGATTTAAAGAAAGAAGTCAACTCACTTAAAAACCTGATCCACTCCTTTATAATCCTTCTGTGTTAAGAAAGGGAAGAATTTGGCCAACTATGGAAATGCCATGTGGAAAGCAAGTACAGCTCAATGACAGCAGTATGAGGAAAAGTCTCTTGCCACACTATTCCAAACACAAAGCAATCTCAGTTCAACTTTATCAACTGATTTTGACCTTTGCTAAATTTCTCCACAAGAATCTGCTCTAGGACCATTGTTCCCCTTCATTTAGGTCTCCAAAGCAGTTGGTAGGATGTAATGTTTTGCTGATCTGGCCTGTATTTGAATTAAGAATCTTACAGAAGGGAAAGGATCCATGGGTTGGTTAATTGAACTACTGATGGAGGTGGTTTTGTTTAGGTTTTTCTTTCTTAACCTCCAGCAACAAACTTAGTCCTTGGTTCTGTGCCTTAGTAATATAAGAGAAACCTTGTGCTTGCTGTAACTGAAATAAACATTATTATTTGGCAGGGTCAGTTTACCTGATCAATCCTTATATTTTTGTCTGACTATGTATCAAAATTCTAAGTCTTAAACTTGAAGCAGGAGTTGAAAGTCAAGTTAATGTCAGATTCTGCATGTAGGTTGTTCCTGATGCAGAATGATGTTTCTGAGTGCAAGTAAACTTCAAAACTTCTAAAACTCTGTTTATAGATCTAATAAGGTACCTCATCCTTAAGAGTTCTTATTCAGGTCTCTTCAGTCTAAAAATAAATCTGGAACTAAAGCTTCTTTTCAATTCTGTTTAATTATACCTGTATCTGAGCTAATGAGCCTGAAGCTCTTTTGCCTTGGTATTGCTTATCACAAAAGAAAACGCAGCCTTGGAGAGACTGCATTGTCATGTCCATTTAAGACATCTAGAGGAAATCTGCTTCTGGCAGGCATTTCCTGTATCTCACACAAGCTGACAGGATGATTGAAGCCTGGTCTGTCCTTCTGAGGAAGGAAGACTCATGGCAAAAAGATACCCTGTTTGCTCAGCCTGCTTTCTTGATAATTGCTTTGTGGTTGCTGCTTATTTTTGCTTTCAGAGCTCACTAACCCCAAAATACCCTATGGTATGGGGAAAACAGAAAAAAAACCCCCCCACATAGCTAAACAACAGAAACTTTCTCAGCTTGGCAAAGGAGGGTTTCAAATGCCAATTTTTAATAAAACTAAAAAGTTTTATCATTCTCTGACCTTGTCATTTTTCCCTGTGCCCAGTGAAGGGTACGGCTGCCCACGTGCAAATGGTATTTTCTCTGGTAGATGATGCTAGCCAGTGTATTTCTGGAAGAGCTTTGATGTTTGTACCAGATTGTATCAATAGGGTCTCTAACCTCACAGGTAGTTCCTTTGAAGATAGATCACAAGGGTTTGTAGGTGTGTCTACTTCTTGGCAAAAATGTGAAGATTGGAAGTGTGTGCCTGATGCCACCCTATGTACATTTCCTGCTATAAATGCTTTCATTTGCCTGAGACTGGTAGTGGGGGTGACTCCAAACTTTTCTTTTTAGTCAGGTTCTCACATATTTCTTGACAATGATAATTAGCTCTGCATTCCATGGTGAATGTGCTCTAGTCCATTTTCAGACAAGGCATGACAAGAAAAAACAATAAATTTCACAGACCTTTCTCTCTAATAAGCTCTTCACAAGGGAGGAATTGGGGATCATGGTGGTTATGGGGCTAGTTTTTAAAGACATTTGGTTTCCTAACTCATGGCAGTACTTTTGAAAATCAAAGCAGGTACCTGAATGGCACCAGCAGTCTGACCTTAGGAATTGTGCATGAAATGATGACTATTGTCGCAACCCTTGAACTGAGACAGGGAAGTCGCTAAGCATAGAACTCCTGGCATTGAGACAAGGTGGCGAGGACTACTGTAATAGGTGTCTGTCTGTGAGGAAAAAAAGGTTAGTTTTACATCACTACAATTTCTAGAGATACTATAAATAGATCTTGTCCAAGGGAATTCAGTATTAAAAAGCAACTACAAGCCTATCATAGATCATGAGGTCAGCCTAGTTACTCAGAAGGCATGGAAGAGAACAGGCATGTATCCCGAATGCTAGTACAAGAGACAAGACAGCAGGCCTAGTACAAGGAACTACTAATTGAAAGAGGAAAAACAGACGAGCAGACCTTCGTATGCCATGCTTCCTCCATCTGTTTTCACCCTCTAACTATTTAAATCACACTTCTATGCATTCGGCAATTACTACATCAACATCAGTTCCTTTTTTTACTTATAACATGAATTAGTCTTTTTTTCACAGACTAAAGGACAGCAAAATAAACCATTGTGGATAAGGACTATATTTATAGTCTTCAATTACTATAAGACTTGTATGATATAACCGGCTATAAAGGTCCTCTTAGGTTTGTGCTTGACGTGCCACATCTTACACTGAGCACTTTTCCCTTCCCTGGAATGCTGACTGCGTGCTTACTACAGTCGGGTTTTCAGGGACAATTATTAACCATGTAGACACAGAGCTCCTTCTTCCGTGGTGTAAAAGAAAACAGGACAAAGCAAAACACACACATATACACTGAAAAAATAACATCCATGAGGAATGCAACCACTCAACAAGCCTTCAGCCACAGGTGTTACTTTTTATAATCCAGTAAACACCACAGATGGAGGTAGCTGTCTTAATGTGTCTCTAGCAGTGGTTTCTAAGAGCTGTTTACTTTCCCTGCGCTGCAGCTTTCTTCTGAAGGGTAAGTTTAACATTACTTTGTTACTAAATGTAGTTATTTTGGTGCTGTTCTTTGCAGTGTGTTGTATTTGCTTTTTATTTGAAAAAGTAGTTAACAGAAAGTATTAAAGGTCTACTGAAAATGTGGTTTTAGTAAGAGAGCAGTTTATATTTAATCAAAGTTTGTTCATAAAGAGGAAGAAACTAGTTAAGGCCTCTGAGGGACTGTCTAGTGTGTAGTGTCAATCCTCTATTTTAGACAAAGGTTTTATTTGCATTTGTTCTTGTAATATTGCAGATAATTCTTCAGAGTAGTAATACTGCTTCTGTCTTCATCTTAGACTTCACTTTATTACAAATGTTAAACACCAATTACTTTTTTTTTTTTTTTCCTAATTCTCAAGTCAGAAGTTATTTTAAGTTTAAACAACTTGATTTACCAGGGCTCTGGTAAAGCACTTTTTATTGTTTGTAATGTGCCTCCATTTGTTCTGAGTTCAGCTTGTGTAGCACCAACACTAAGAATCCTGAGAACTTCTCTCAAATAACCTTTTTGGTAAGGGCCAGAAACATTTTAGCAGACTGGGGGTTTTGGGGGTGTTTTTGGGGGGTTGTTTGTTTCATTGGGGTTTTTTTTTTCAGTTTGTACCTTTTAGAACTGTAGGAGACTATAGGAGGAACTTTTAAAAGCTAAGTGAGTAGATAACAGTCTTATGCTAGTAGTTGGTAGTCAGTATTTCTGTGGGTGCCTTCAGTTTGTGTTTTGAGAAGTGCATGTATTTTCACTTGTGAACTGTGGTCTCCTCATTGCTGTATAGAGATTTTACCGTGCTCCGTGTGAACTTGTGTGTGTAGTAGAAGACTTGAAGATGGGCTTCAAATTTCTGTCTCCCACTTGGGTTTCCTGCTGGCTAACAGGGGTATCTGTGCTCTGGTCCTTTTTTTCTCAACAGCCACCTTTCTTGGAGGAGTTCTTGGGTTTGAAGGCTTTGGCAGCCTGAGAAAACTGCATCTGCCATGCAATAAATAGTGCCAAGTTCTTTAGCCTACCTACTTAAATAATTTTTAAGTAAATGTATTATGTTGAGTTTGTCCTAAAGTAAATAAAAGTGGAATATATATGCTCTTGTATGTTAATAATATGCCGCAATGTGAAAGAGGTTCTTTCGAAAAGCTAGGATAAAATAAAAAGTGAGGGTGTTTGCGCAGCCTCTGGTTTGAAGGATTTCTTCCAGATTATACAATTAAGTAGTTGCATAGTTATATTATTTAGCCTGTACGATGAACAGTTCTCAGTGTATAAAGTGTCAGATGTTTGCCCTTTAACATCAGGACACAGGATGGAAATCTCAGTCCTGCTTCTTGTGACCAGTGTTGACAGTGAGTGAGGAGTCTTCCTCTTGTTTTCTAACCCTTTCTCTGCTACACAGGAGTGGGGTTCCTGAGTATGTCTCATATGTTTCTGTGTTACTGGTGTGACACTAAGGAAAACAGACAACTTAAAAAGCAAACAGTTGAGGTAGGATCAGTGTTCGGACCGGTGAAGTGCTGGTGCCTTTCCAGGTGACTTTGCCTGCTCACTTCATGTGGCTTGGCTGCACAAGGGAGCCTCGTTGCAATGTGGAGCCTCTGCAGTGCTCCCACCTGGCTTCAGCAGTTGCTGGATCAGAGCCTGAAGGAGGAGAGAGTCTTTTGCCAGCTCTATGGAAGTAGCTTCAGTATGAAAATGAGATAGTCCTGGCTGATCTGCAAAATGAATGTAGCAAGGAGCCACCATCTGTATCTGTGAGTTGTTTTTGTTGTGTGTGGGGATGATATAATTGAAGCCTGAATCTGGTGCATGAAGAATAATTTGAATGTGGTTACTTCATCACCTTTCTAAGGTATTTTAGGAACTGCTTTACCTCTTAAAATGGTGGGTTGGTTATCTGCAAGCCAGGCAAACAAAAAACACCATTGAAGAATCTCTGAAAACGAGGCTCTTTATTATTACTCATGAGGCTTCAGAATAACTTTTTTTTTCTGGATTAGAACATAGGACTTCCTGCTTTGCATTTAGAACCAGAACTGTGGCTTTCTACGCTTTGCTTCTGGTTCTTGTAAATGGCTTATTTTTTTTTTTCCTTTGTTTGGTTGAAGGCAGAGTAAAACTGTGCATAAAAGCTGAGGAAAATGCCACTTTTCATACTTCATTGGACTTCCATTGTAAGTGTAACAGGATATAGTAAAACTCTTCACCCTCCCTGCATAGACTCTGCCTTTTATTAAGATGGCAACGTTTCCCTCTTTCTCTCCATCCCATTAAAAGATAACTGAGAGAGGAAAGGAATCAAAGGCAAATGCTTTGGATTTTTGCTTCCAACAGCTGTAAGGGAGGGAAATAATGGTTTTTTGATTTGTTTTTTAAATTGCCTTCAGTGTGTCTTTCACCAAAATCTTGAATATTGATAAGCCAGGGTGATCAAGGGAGAGGAGAATGAACTGGGGATCAACTAGTTTAATTACAAAAAAAAAATCAAAAAATCCAACACTAGACACCTCAATCTTTCTCATCCTGAAACCCAGATATTAAAAGGATATCGAGAACTTTATTCTTAGTATTGCCATTAGCCCCTTTCTCTTTATACTAGAACAACCTATGGCAGACTGATAGAGTATCAATTGTAGAATCAA